TTGTTTTCAACTGATTTGCTGATGAAGTGTTGCTGCATTGTATAAATAATTGAGTAGATGTTATCTTACCACCATTTGTATTTAATTGATTGGCAGCTTTCGATAGCATATCATCACCGGATCTACCGCTTGCAAATTAAATTGACTACTTGAATATGCAAGTTAACTATACGAGTTGAAAACTTAACTCGCAGAAAGCATATTTGCTGATTACTAGGCCAAGAAATACTGCAAGTATATCCATAAAAATTGTGGAAAGACGATAATAATAAAAATTTCTTCGTTTTATTGTTGGAAATTAAATTTTCCTTCATTACAAAGCGTAAAAGACACATCGGACCTAACTACTAACTCAATATTATAGACATAGAATGTGGTCATTGTACTAGAACTGCATTGCTGTACTAAATTATTTACGAGATTAAAAATATTGAAAAAATCAGAGCCGTTTATTCAGTGCGCTTTCTATGTTTATGGTTTGTGTATATTTGGAATTAACGAAGCAGAATATACTCCTTGTAACTTAACTCTCCCAGAATTGCCGAACATTTCAAGTTTCGGCTCATTTCCCCCCTGTAAGATAAAGCAAGTAGTTTGAATTTGGAATTAAAAGCTAAAATAATATTATGTGGAACACATAGATAAAGAATCATACAAAAAATCTTTTGAGTGGATATTTTTGCGACCAACTATGCGATCGATAAATTATGCTATTGTTATATTCCATTTCTCGAATTAGTCGTCATTCTCGAACGTCCATGCTAAATTTCAAAATTAATTTCAATGATAGACAAAATTTTATTCGTTGAAGATTGAATATAAATTCTTCGCCCTCTCTTGACGAAGTTAAATAGGCCCTAAGACAACTATTAGACTCCACTGAACGCTAGGCCACTAACCAATATGCAATTTTCTGAAGACTGAATCTTTCTTACGCTTGATTGTTTGGAGCCAAGCCTTGGCAAAAAGAGTTAGAAAATCCGGAAAGACCGCTAACACATACATGCCTCAGGAGCAAACCTGGAAGAAAATGAAAACGTTAAGTTTTCATTTAGAAAATTATAAAAATAATTTGTTATTAAAACAATTAAATGAATTTAATGTATTTTTAATCAGTAAAATCATCAACCATATAAGACATTTTGCATAATTTGTAACAAAATAATAACATATGTAAGTAGTACATGAAGTGAGATTTTGGGGTACGAATAAAATGTTGATGGACGAACCGATGATGTAAGCCGAGTCAGACATTTTGAAATGAGAACGTCAATGACACTCGTAATAGTTGGTACAATACTTTTTTGCACAAATCCACGGAAATTTACAAGTAAATAATCTTGGTGTCATTCTCAATATGTGAGATGCAGCCCTGTTGATTCAAGTTGCTCCGAAATTTTGTTTACTTGCAGTACTCTACTGTTTTGTATGACCATGACTTCTTTGTGGTTCCCGTACGGTTAAGTCTATTTTAATGTACACGTACCGCAAAATAAACATTTTCAAATAATAAAAAGTTAAGGTTAGTACTAGTTTCCATGCACAAGTGCTGGAAAAAGTTTTAATATTCATGTGATTGCACGGATGCCCTTATGTCACGGCATACTTTAATAAAAAAAATATTGTGCATCTTTATGAAAGTATTTAGAAGTGGAGGCTTTAAGTAAAATGTCTTTATTATTCTATTATCAGAATAGGTAAAAATTAATTTGCCCATCTTTAGAACCTGTGTATGTCACAGGTAAAGAGAATGGAAAATAAATATTAATTTATGATTTTATGAAGAAAACGCAAAAAATGATGGGTATAGAAACTTCCGCCTTTCAAGTTCTTTTTTCTTCTTAGGACGGCACTCTTATGTACTTCTTTTTTAGTGAAGCTACTTCATCCAGTTTTTGTATCCATAACTCGTCTTTGAGGTTTGAAAAGTGGCAACAGAGTCCAGACGCATCTTAAACATTCGCCAACCGCCCGTTGGGGCGCTTTCTCCCTCCAGCAATTGGGATACAAAGCGTAGTTTTATTTTCGCTGGACAAAGGCGGCACTGAGATGCTGCCGCGGTCGTAGGTTTACATTCTCATTCTTTCCCGCTGAGAAGTTCACGCCGGCGCGGTGGCGGCAAGGGAGGGGAGGGCGAGTTGTATGTTTCGTCGCTGGAAAACAAGCACATACGAATTACGTGCTCCGGGAAAGAGATGCGCGGAGGAGGGAGGAGAAATATTTCTTCCTCCTTACTATAAAACGCGAGGCGGCTGGAGAGAGTCCGGTCTGGCGGTGAGGTCGCGGTTTAATGAGCTGATGGATGCACCGCGCTGGCGACGCCGCGCGCCGCTAGTGGCTCTAATCCCAATTTACGGCGCGACTGCTGTGGGCGGCGCGGAGCGGCAGGGGTGACGGGGGCGACGGAGGCGACGGGGGCGACGGGGGCGACGGGCGACGGGGGCGACGGCGACGGGGGCGGGCGACGGCGGCGAGCGGGCGAGGGGCGCGGGGGCGACGGGGCGACGGGGGCGACGGTGTCACGGGGGTGTGAGAGACGGATGAAAATGAGGCGGTGGGGTCGACGAGGGCGACTGGAGCAAGGACGGGGGCCAGAGGGCGGCGGCGTGGCGGGACGACGGGAGCGACGGGGCGACGGGGGCGGCGAGACGACGGTGGCGGCGAGACGACGGTGGCGAACGGGGTGACGGGGATGACGAGAGCGACGGGCGGGAGGCGGCGAGGGCGGCGGGGGCGGCGGGGGCGGCGGGGCGGCGGGCGGCGGGGGACGGCGGGCGGGCGGGCGGCGGGGGCGACGAGGGCGTCTGAAGAACCGATGTGAGGATCGAAAGAGTTCGAGTAGACGACAGCAATGCTGAAATCTACATTTATCTTTTTATGGAAGTAGTGGCCTTTAATTTCGTTGTGCTATTGTTATTATGATTGTTATGTTACTCTTGTTATTGATGTAGGCTTTGTTGGTATTGATGTTACTGATGAAGTTATTTATTGCCATACCACAGAAAGAAGCTGAACTGTTGGGAATTTATTAATTGGCATTGCAATGAGTCCAAGAATTACCGTCCGATTTAAACTTTTTCATTTGCCCCTATTAAACCGCACCACCTAGACATAACTGTTCATTAATATAGGAATAATCAAGCCAGAAACATCTCACAGAAAAATGCCTATGAAGAAAATGGTGGCCAAGCTCCATCATCTCCAGGTCTCTCCTCTAGAATAAATTCTTTGCATCCAGAATTTAAAAAAAACAAAAACAATGCTGAAATAATCTGGACGCACCATTCTCGACGTTATGAGAATAGTAAATGGCAAACATTATACGATTACGTATATACACGGCATATAGAGGACGAGTGGGTTCGAAGTGATGGCTTATTTGAAGTTTGCATTTTGCGACGTCTGCTCTCCAAATCATATGCTATTGAAAACAACTCCTCTCAGAGAATCTCTAAGAAGCAATTATTTATCAGAATTTGAAGATGTTTCCCACCTGTAAATCAAAATCTTACATTTGAAATTGTACCTCGGTGGAAGTGAAGATATTATGGAATTATGATAATTAAGATAAGTATGACAATTAAGATAAGGATAGGTTTGTTTTTGAGCCGCAAGTGGTGCTTAAAATATTTTAAGCTCGTCAATAAGAATATTTCAACTATTTGAATTGAGGTACGTTCTATTTGAGAAAATAGTCATAAGCGGAAAAAAATCAATATTAAATCGAAGTTTGAAGGCGTAGATAGGAAGCCTTCATAGTTACGTTAATATTGAAGTTGTTTTCTCCTTAGTATTCTAACAGTGTATGAAAATTAAAGAGAGAGGGCAGTCTTCGGGCATATGTGACAAAATCACACAATTTCAACGAGTATTTAAAATACACTCTTTTTGGTGGATTTTGGTGCAATTTAGCAGTTTGTTAAAGTCATAAACAAAACAGCAAAATCTCTACTTTTTGAATTTAATTATTTCATAATTGTTAACGAAAAAATAAGTATTTTAATTTAATTAATTTAAATAATAACATGACAACAAAAGTGTGAAACTCTGTTGGGTGGGTAAGTTGATGTGCGCGAGTAGCCCAAGTTTGTTCTGAAAATAAATAAATAATTATAATATTATATTTGCTACCATTATAATGGTATCAGGTACAGCAGGAAATACCAATCACTTATCTCAGGAAACATGACAGTGTCGTAGAAATGGTTGTCCCGGATTTCGAAGATCGGATAATTTATTGAACTGCATTATTTGTAAAGCAGGCAGCATCCTATAGACATGATCATTTGCCGAGAGTTGGTGAAAAAAAGAGAAACAAGTGAGTTAGCTAATATGTGTGTGTGTTGGGAGGCGGGGGGGGGGATTCAAAGATAGGTATAAAGAAATCTGAGCAAAATTGAAAATAAGATAAGGAATATAACCTACGGTTAAACTGTAAGCGGTACGGTTAAACTGAAAGGAACAGTACGGTTAAAATGTAAGTTAAAGAGGTAGACGGTGTCGAAGACGGGGCATATGTGCTGGGGAGGCACGAGTCCTTTCTTCGACCCGCTCTCTTCCTTTCCCCCTCCCCACCCCTCCTTCAGCTCCCACCCAACACCGCTGCCTGTTTTCGTTTATTAGTTAAGCGCAGGGAGAGAAGAGGTGTAAATCATTGCGAACCCGGGACCAGCACGGACGCTTTCTCCTGCCGAGCCCGGCCCGGCCCGGCCCGCCGGCTCCCTTGTGTAACTTCGTCCCGTCTCCCACTCCCAACCCCCTCCGCCTCGGATCCCACGTGCGCGTTCAAGAGCAGTAGGGGGCGGGGGCGAAAGTTCCCGCGCCCCCGCCTCCCAGATAGCCCCGAGATACGAGATAATTCAACGTGGCTTATCCATTAGCGAGGGCCATTGGAGTGTCGTTAAAGTGTACGTCGCGCCGACAGCGAGAAACGGAGAGCAAAGGTGTAATATACTCTGACAGGTACACGGCGAAGTTTTAGTGTTCACCGTTTTCCTTACCGACGCGCTGCGGCAGCAGCTCAAACAGCGCACGGAGCAGCCCAGGTGCGCTGACCCGCGCGGTTCGTAAAGCAGCGTGGGCGGCGACGATGTGGGAGGGCGATGCGTACACACGATTCTCAAGCTTTCTCTGTAGAAATCCTGTAATTTAATAGGAGGACGTGTGCGTGGTAAGGGACTTCGACATGCGGAATCGACGTTGTTTGTAAACGAGCGTAGTTCGCTTTATGATCGGACATAGAGGGCAATGTTATTGAGATGTAAATGCTAATCCGTTTAGTTTAAAACATTGTAACTTGGATTATTTAAATGTGCCAAGGCGGTTTCATGTTCAGTTAATGGAATTTGAAATATGGCTATTCATTTTCTGTCCTTGCATTAATATTAATTCGGATTCTTTGCTAGATTGCCGAGAACAGCCATGAATGTCATCATTTATTCGATATTGACTGCAATTGATATTTTCGCATTTTTACAAAGTCGCGTTAAAGATATTACTGTTTCCTTGAGTAGGAATAAATGTTTATGTGAGTAGGAAATTGAAAGAAGCTACATTTTATAGTTATATATTTTTATAAATGTATTGAAATCATATAAATATATAACACTCTTTATTAGAATGTTAATTGAATACTTTATTGAAAAAGAATCAAAATATGAATATGAATGAGAAACATTTCTGGTAGATAATATTTGAATTTTATGTGATTTTCACAAATATTAAAGAAATAGGGAGATATGTATTTTTTTTTAAATCAATCTCAACTTGGAGAATAGAATTTCCTAATGGGTTGGCCTTGAAAATGGTGATATAGTTTTAAAATATTTATTTAGATAAACGCAAATACATGAAACGTGTGAGAGAAGATACCCGAAATTTTAAGCTTATCGAAACTAGAACATTATTCTTTTAAAAATGTGTTTCAAAGAATATACACAAAATAATTTTCACAAACGACCGTACTAAGGGCGTAAATATAACAAAAATGAATCACTCATCGTAAAATTGTGTCACTGAAAGTGATTGCACATTATTTTTAAAATTACGTAGTATATTATTTCCTTTGAAGTTCATGATACAGTATCGCCGACATAGTATTACTGTATTTTATTTCACGATTTTCGTGCAATACTTCAGTTGGAAGCATTTAACATATGCGTGATTCGATGCTGCAGAAGCTAACTGCGTGAACAAAGAAAAAACCGAAAATAACCAATTTCACGTCGAAACGCAGCGACGGCATTGAAGGGCGCAATCTTAATGGAAGATTACATGTACTTTTCCCAATCTTGATGCATAATAGTCGACGCACAACATATTGACGATATGATACATATTGTGGATAATCACATGTGAATCGTTTTGTGTTTTGATTCGGTCTCGACAATTGCAGCTCGTCGGGGTTCAACATTCATCATTTACATTAAATCTTTCTATACAGATGTTCTTATATTGCTTTCCGCAATGATTTTCTTCATCCTGCTAATGACTATTTTTTACTCAGCTAATTCCGCAATCGATTAATGTATTTTTCACCTAATCTAGACGACTTGCAAAACTCCGTAATTTATGTTCTTTACTATGCGTTTCAAATGGTAAACAGGATGGTTGATACACTTGCGACATACTACGAGTTAATAAATCTGTGGCATAATTTTCTCGGAAACATTAGGCACTAACGAATACTTTCATCACATGGCTTACTCATTACTTTACAAAATTTCATCATCCATACGAAATTAGTTCTTACTCGTTTATGAACAAAAAAGAAGAAAACTGTATCAATAAGTTACAAAGGATAATAAAGAATAATAAAGTAAAGAAATTTTGAAACTAATGAGATTCGAAATTTTGAAAGGTGAAATAATATTCTGTTAATGGTAGCACATCACGAAGATTAAATCATAATATATGCAAAAGAATTAATTAAATGGTATAATTCATGTGTCGATGAATGAATTGGCATCGTATAATGATGTATATCGTTGGTGCAAGGACAGAAATCGCATTTGAGCCATTTTAATTTATTACTCATTATTAACGAAAAAACAATCATTTCTTTGGTATAAACGGTTTTTCTGGTTTATATTGGGTGAAAAACTAAAATGGTACAAAACTATTTAAGGCCCTTTTGACCACCACCGAGGATTATATTATACACTCATTGAATCACTAATTGATGATTTTGTTTTTTTGTTCGATTCGTTTCAAATCAATTTTCAATACTTACGAGATAAACCTATCACTGCACCATCCTAACTATAATAAGCCACAATAGAAGCTTCACTATTTATAAATCTTATATACTTCCAATGGTAGCACCAGCCAGTAAGTCAGATGATGCCCGTGTCGCATGAGTATTCTGGAGGTCGGCAGTAGTGATCGGTCATATCCATGATTACCTTACCTACGGCCCTTACTCCTTTCCATAATTCAGTCTTGGGGTTATCGAAATAAACATTAAGCAACTCACTGGATCGTGCACGGTTCTTTCTTTCCATTCCACTACACCCTTCCTTATGACAATACACTATTTTTCACGATTCATCCCCCCTCTTCGTAGCAGCTTGGAAAGATGATGATGAAGAAGAAAAGAGGAAGATGAAGTCGAAGGAGGAGAAAAGGAGGAAGAAAAAAGGAAGAAGAAGCAGAGAAAAACAAAGTCGAGGAAGGTGAAACAAGGGAATAAGAGAAAACAGAGGTATACGAAAAAGCAGAATACGAGAAATCAGATGAACGCGAAGAACCAGAAAAATACGACAGCAGAGGAACATAAAGTAGCAGAAGAATACGAAGAAGCAGAATAATTCGACGAAGAAGAACGCGATGAAGCAGAAGAACAAGAGGAAGCCAAGGGTATTGAAAAATCAGAGGAAGACGAAGGGACGGCAGAATACGAAGAAGCAGAAAAAATACGAGAAAGCAGGAGAATACAAAGAAGCAGAGGAACACAAAGGACCAAAAAATATGACGAAAAATACGAAGAAGAAGCAGATGAAGAATAAGCAGTGTAATAAGAAGAAAAAGGAGAAAGAAGAATGATCAGGCGGGCGAGGCAACGGTGCCATGGCCAGAGGTGCGTTGTTTCCAAAGCTTTGAAAGCACCACGGAGAAAGGAGATTTTAAGTATGCCGCCATTTCCCTCGTATCTAAGGCAATTAATAGTACCACTAATGGTTCTGTGCGTTGCATGACTATTTTCAGGTGTGGCATTGCACTCCGAAATACATTGCATGGAAGTATACCTATGGTCACAGACAACACCAGGAGGTTGTTGTTTGTTGGTTGTTGGTGTTTGGGAGTCCGGTGTCTTCGGGATTTATAATCTGCCTTGTGCAGTGTCATTCAGCAAGTTGCCGCAACTTCTACTAAGCTACTACTGCTAGTAATAATAATGATAATAATAATAATAATAATAACACAAGACTTCAAGTGTAGAGACGCTATTTTTAACAATTTCAGCCAAATTTTAATTAGAGTAATATTAGTTTTAAATGTAATTCATTAAGTAGTTTTGAAATAAATAGCTCTTTGTAAAATAGGAAAGGACAAAATTTATCATTAAATGACATAATTAAAAATCTTTAAATTCTCGGCTATCTCGGAGACGCCGCGTCGTTGGTTGGGAGGCCGACGTTTCGCCTGTCATGTCGCAGGCTTCCTCAGGGCAAGTCAGGACTGCGACATGTTGGCGTCCCAGCCAACGAAGCGGCGTCTCCCGGATAGCCAAGAATTTATGGATTCGAGCCGCGGGAGCTTACGAGTGCATAATCAACAATCTGTTCGATTATTAATTCTACCGTTATGCATTTATTACATTCATGGGCTTGATTGACTGATAAGTGATTCTGGGTGCGTCAACTCCTAAGGTCATTAGTCGCGTAAGTGCGGTGCGCGTTTGCATTACGGAATGTCGTGGTGAATTTTCCCCGCCGGCTGGCGTGATCCGGCGCCGACCTACGTGGGCTTGCGGGGTTTTCCCCCAACCAGGTGTTTCCCACCAGCGGGGCACCGCCCCAGGAGCCACGGGAAACTACCTATTAGAGTAGCCGACCGTTAGAATTCCCCTCCAGACAGCTCCACGTACTGTCGTCAAACGAGTGTCGAAAATTCTGCCACCGTTGGAATTCGAACGTTAGGACCTTCGGGTCAGAGGCACTGCACTCAGGGACCGAATACCTCAATCATGGCGGTAAAGGTATTTTCAATGATATACTTTACTTCTATTATATCTTTATTCGAAATACCTTTAAATATACATCGCCAAATACCTGTATTTTTACAGGTACTTCATCCAACGTCTATACCTAAAATATCTATATTTAAAGGTATTATACCAGTACTTTCTCATAAAATACTTTGTTGTGCTTTAAATGTCTTATAAAGTTTCTCAAATACTCAAATATTTTATATAATTTTTTATGAATATTTTATATAATATAAACGAGCTCAAAATTACGCATATTTAACAAACGCTCAAACCACATTTTCTCAAAAATTGCTCCAGTTTTTTTTTCTTCAAACTTTTCGTACGGAGAGTGTGCTAATTTGCACTGTTGAAGATAACATAAAATTATTTTTGCTGTATTCTTTTGTTTTTTCAAATAATTCATAAGCGTATTTTTTGTATCTCTTACGCATTTATTACGCACATTTTCAGTAATTTGTATACGTTATAGCATTTGTGAGTGGAAATGCTTCAAATGACTTTCAATGAAGTTTTTCGAAAACTCAAAAGATTTCTTTAAAAACGAGCTTCACATTTCGCACTTCCAGTACCTCATAAACACCATTCTATAATATTGTGGCGTCGTTAACACGAGGGCCAGAACCGTTAGGTTGGTGAAAGTACGCTGCGGGGGAGGAAGGAAGGAGTTAAGCCTGAACATCCGGAGTTTGCGCTCTGGCGGTTGACTCAGGTAGTGCCGCAGAGCCAAAAATACCGGAGGCTGTAAACTCCGAGGATGCTAGCCTGCGAGCCTCGTTTACGGAAGCAGGCAGCCAACCTGAGAACTCTTTGTGTGGGCGTAAACCAAAGGCTGGCCTGCGAGCCTCGCGCCAGCCGGCGGGCCTATCTATGGAACAGTGGTGGGGGTGTCAGCCTCAACTATTTAACGCGGCGCCATCTGCGCCCGCGTTCTCATTCAGTTTGCATCGGGAAGCTTGTACGTGTATGTACAAGGAGGGTGTAGGAGTGAGGGCGAGATGTCCGGAGAGTAAGGGCCAGACAATCTCACGTGCTGTAGACACACGGTCGCCACGACCGGGTTAACTTTTGGCGTCAGGCCATGTGACGGTAATTGTCACGGGACAGAGGTCCGACGGCGCGCATCACGCGTGGCTTGTATTTTCTGCGGTAAAGCAGTGTTCCGAAAGGAAAAGGTTGCCGGAGTGTTTTAATATTAGCAATTCATTGTAACTTGTACATAATCTTTGAATATATTATTTTTATTTTGTTATTGAAATTTATTTCTTATTTCACTACGTCACAATATTCTTAAAATAATATTTCAGTTCTGTCATTAGGATACCGAAAAACTGAGATTTTTAAGAAAAATCTACTTTTAGCGGCGATGGATGACAGATGGGGCAAAAATGTAGAGCCCGCCCAGACCGTAGAAATTTAAAAAGCTGATTAGTATGAGCGAGTCTGTGCCATTTGTAGCACCAATCTATTTTCTTAATAAGTATTTCGCAAAATGATTAACGAAAGGAGTTATTTTCCCAGTGTGGATGGTGAGAGGGACATTATTTTACATTGAAATACCGGTATAATATCGGAATAACCTTCATGGACGTCCATACCGGTATAGACGTTCTATAGAAGTAGTTTATGCAATTTGTTGGCAATGTTAAGCTATATTGCATGTGTACATGTTTTGAAAACAAGCAGCATTAGGAGTGAGTTTTCAAATTTGTACGAATGCAATAAAGCAACATTACAAACAAGTTGATACGCTATTTCTTCTATAAATTCATAAGAGGATCAAACTTAATTTTGCGAAACAATTTTCTTACGACCTCGTGTGTATTTGACCTCTGTGAAAGAAAACGATAGTCGGATGTTCTGTTCACAGCTACCTCCCCACGATTCTCTCTCTGCATTCGGCTGAATGTGTGATAACGCAATCATTAGTGCCGTAAAATCTAATTCGTCATCATTTGTGCCGTAAAGTGTCCTTTTATGAACGATTTCTTGCAACAGAAAAGATTGTTTGTAATGCTATGTACAAAAACGATATTTTACCGGTATAAAATAATAAAGTTATTTGATAGACGTATGGAAATATACGGTTATTTTTCCCGTATTTTTAACGGTATTTAGGGTTGCCAAGTCTGCTTCCAAAAAATAGCAGACAAGCGGTAAGTATACAAAATAATTCAAAAAATTTCCAATAAATTAAATATTTTCTTACAAACATTTTAACACGTATTAAAATAATCAAAACCTTACTTAAAATTCAAAACATCAAATATATTATAATAATACATATATATCAAAATCATATCAATTCAACTAAGAAAAAAGTATAATATAAAAATAATAGGTAAATGCAAGTTAAGGAAAATAGTATGTAAATAATTTTATATAGTTCTCTTAAATGTCTTGTGAAACAGTTGAGTATGATTAACATTTCTTTCGGAGAATCGAGTTCAATGAATATTCGATCGTTGTCTCTTTCTAACAACGAAAAGAGACAAAACGCGATTCCCTATCCTTAATCTCTTAGACTGTACAAAGTGATATTACGTACCATTTCATCATGCAGCTTTTTAATAAAAATATGTCCACTATTTTGTGAAAAAATGTGAACAAAATGTTTAAAAAAAGTGGATTGTTCACTCAAATACTAGCACACCTGGCAACCATGCCGGTATTTAATAACGTTTCGGTCCCTGACAAGCAGTGACATCAGTTCATGCCCTAAGATAACTTTGCCGGTTCGTGTACTTTGTATTGCGACCTCCCCATCTTCTTTATTCTCACTCTATTATACAACTCCAAATATTACCGCTGCTGTGCATGCCCTGCACCATCTCAGTGCCAAACAGATTAATGATCTGTTCCTATTTGGAAGAGAACGTCTCATTACATACACACTAGTCATTGTCTACTCCAGTATTCAAATGTTTATTACTTTTCCAGCATGCAGTATTCTCCTGTTGGCAAGATTTTAAGACTTCGCAAGTTTTGTGAATAATTATTTACTATTGAATCTCAGTTTCCAATAAGAGGATTTGAATTCGTTACTATCACATTTAGTCTCAGTTGAACAATAAAACATAACTTTACAATTTGGTTGATCATTAAACACGACATTAAACACTTTGACGTTAACACCAATTAACGTCACATAAAGAAAATATACTTCAAACTATTACTTCCTGAAATAAAATCACATAAAAATAATATAATTCGAATTATATTCAAAATAATAGTATATGATTTGAAAAATACAAAAATATAAATTATAATCTATGCAAGAACGTATGATCCCATTTATCTATAATTATTACATGAACAACTTTCCTATCATTCACTTAATCAAAGAACGTTGATGTCAATTTTACGTGTTTTTTGAACTGACGATGGCTATGGTTACTCCCTACATGAGTATAAAAATCATAAAATATTATCGTATGTAGTTTATAGTAGTATCATGTAGTAATTGGTAGCAAATACACATCTACTCAGTACAAAAAAAAATAGAATCACGGATCTCTATCCTATTATTGAACCTACAGTATTTATCCTAACTAAATTTACAACAACATGCTTTTCATTTCTTTACTTTCCCTCACGTGCAATGAAGTGACCTTAATTACGTTACCTCTTCAGTGTAATTAAGCGATTCTCAGCTTTTTTTGTAGCTATAGAATCGATTGATTTCCTCCTCTACACTGAACCTTCAGTTCATAAATCTCTATGGCACAGGGCCGAATTGCCGCCCTTCCTTTTACACCGTTATTCCATTGCTCGATTTCCTTTCACGCTTGACCTTGAGTCCGATACTCTTACCCCCTGCGCTGCCGTTTTCTAAGGATCACGGTTTAGTTCGTTCTCGTTATTTCTATCACTACTTGTTTCCAGGTGGCAAATTGTATATCTATTCATTTGATTTACAAGGTGCAAAGCGTTCCGGATGAACCCGGAACTAATACTGGAATAGGCAACAGAGATATACGAGTACTACCTTACTCGTGGTTTCGATGCAGGGTGGGGGGACTAGCAGATCACTAGTTGGGAAACGGAGGATTTTATTTCTCCTCTGTTTTTAATGTATAAAAAATTTACTCACATAGATGATTCTTCCTCTTTGGGGTTTCCTCCAGTTTCGTACAATGATGTAACACCAGTTCCTTTCGGCTCCGGCTTCATTGAAATGGACGATAATTACCACAGTACGTGGTAATTACAAATAATATCTGTAATTATCCACAAAAACATTACAATTCTACCATTCAAAGCATGCAATTCACAATATCGGACAAGAAAACAATATAACTGTTTTTTAGAACCTTATTTCTTCAGTAAAACTTGTACTTTCATGCACACGAGAACTTTTATATCACTTCTGTTGTATGAATAACGACAAACGATACTCAATCGGAATGGCGTTTATTTAACGAACTTTTGAATACACAGCTTGAGTAAGAGACGAGCGTAACACGTTTATTACCGCGTGTCCGGCGTCCAGCGTCTGTGTATCGAGCGGCCACAAGTCAGACCGTCACGGTTGTTTTTTGGCACGCTCGCAAGGTGGCGCCCTTTGACTGCCGTACAACGTCTTATTGAACGAAAGTTCCAAACTTTTCTTGCTCCATTTACATAATAGTTACCTCAGTGTCGAGCTTGAATGTTCTGGATATTGTTGGATGATCCTGCATTCCTGTCGTTTCACAAAGCACGGAAATCTGTTTCCGGGGATCGCTGATCTTGGGCCGTCCGTTTCCGCTAACTTCAACCAGCGAAAGTCATTCGAGATCTTGTGATGCCGCACCGATATTAGCGCTCTTTTGTGATTGGCTCTCTTACCAGACGCCTTGGACTTCAGTTTCCATTTTTGATAGGTGACACTCTCCCTTATAGCCGGCCTAAGTAGTCGAGGTCGTTAAGGCTGAAGGGCCGCAGCTGCCTCGGTTCGAAGGGTCGCGGGTTCAATTTCCGCCTCGGGCATGAATGTTTGTGTGTACGTTTGTGTTGTCCTTACATTTCCCCCTACAGTTTAAAGCTCACAGTTGTCGCTATATGTGTAAGATGTTGAAAAGCGATCCAATAAAAGGAAGAAAACCTCCATTATCTTCTTTTCCCTGGGGTTTATTCAAATTAAATGGATTTCATCTTACTCCTTTCCGTAAGATGGGTTGTTCGCCACAGTATACTATGGATTTTTTTTACTATATAAAATATTTAATTTTAATAATATTAAAACAGGTTTCATTAATCCAAATATGCTATATTTGCGAGACAATTTGAGAGGGGTATCTTTGCCGTATTCCCCAGAACCTTCTTAGGAATCAAGCACAAGCATTGGTAGACGTTGACAACTGTGAGACCAGCTTTGATGTTGGACCATGGACAGCGTTTGATTAATCTGTTGACTCAATCCACAGGCACTGCGTAAGCTGCCGTTGTAATATCGCATGCTCCAAGCAAACACCAACCCGGTCTTTGCTCGTGTTATTCCTCTCTTAACCAAACTCGTCTTGACTGCAGGTTAGGTTCATTCGAGAATAGATGATCACAGATATTTTTGCAAGAAGTTCTTCGATCATATTTTTATTGAAGTCAGGCAGCATAACTTCAGGAATTTAACAAAATATGTAATTATTACTGTGGAGAGAATGTTCGCACATGCATTTTGGGACTTTATTTTTCACACTTCAAACAACTGAAGAATTAAATTCGTAATATTTGTCTTGAATGATTAATAATCTACAGATTTTATCAAAAGTGATTATGACAAATAATTTCTGTTATATTTATTACTCCACTTAAACCCTTCAACTCAATAACGAGTGAATGTACACTTCTATGAGCAAGTCTAAATAATGTCTAACTATCCTTGATTCTACTTGTATATTATATTATATTAGTTAGAGAGAGAGTTATAAGAGGATGTAAAAAAAGTGTAGAACAGTACTGAATAAATATTTGAGTATATATTGTTATTAAAGCGTAGTTCGTTGATCACAAAATCAATCTGTATTATTAAAGCACATATTGTTTTAACAAATACGACCTCTTCTTAAAATTGACAAGTACTTTAATGGAAATAAGAGATTAAATTTCCAAAATAGAGTCAATTATAAACGTTTTCGTAACTGCATATTGGAAAATATGATAATAAATAGAAGTCATTTACATGATAAATGGCTCTAAGGACATACCAGTTTAATGATGAAGCCCGTTCTACACTTTCCGGGATCTTGGAAAGGAACCTGTTTATATTCTGAGAGTGGACTGTAGGTGAGAGATGATGGTCATGTAAAGGAGATGATGTCTAGTTGGGAACAAATGAGTAATCCTAGTGAGGTGTTTATTAACTGTCAAAGAAATAACGTGAAATTATTGTGCAGAGCACACACATACTGCATTTTTAATAAGACATCCAAATACGAAATTAATAACGATTAAGATTCTTCTTAGCGGAACTTTCCTTCTAGAGTGCACTTATAACTTAATAATTAATATCCATCTTCTCAGAAGTAATTACATGCGAGGAGAACTTAATTTTTCACCCAAAGGAATCCAGTTTCACGCCACATTACAAAGTTAATCATTTGAGCAATGACACAAACCTTGGCAGATCTATGGGACTCAGTGTACTAAGAATCAAACTTTCATGAACAAAATAAATTCCCTCGTTTTGAAACATCTTTTTTAGTTTATGTAGGTCGCCTTTATAACGACCAAGTCCTTTTGTCATTCCATCTTTCGTAAAACTATCCTTATTCCCAAATTCCCAGGGAATTCCTTTCCAGCAACCTACCAAATTTCATTTTTACGGAGACCACCTCCTCGGTTGCCAGAGAAGGTATAATCCCTATTGTAAGCCTATCCAAGCCAGTAAGTTAATTTTTACTGCCAAGACACCCCACGCACATCTCGGGTGCGAGTTGCTGATGCTAAGGGAGAGTACCAATGACAGGTATAGGAAGTAAGGGGATTTGAAAGGGTATACATTGTAGATGCAGGAAGGAATTGACGAATAAGTATTGGAAGGGGATACAAGGCAGGTGGGAAAGATTCACAATGCCACACAAGCAAACATGCATGTCCGAAGCGGGACTCGAATCCGCGACCCTTCGAGCTGCGATGGTCGAGGGGCTTCGACCTGCTTTAACGATCGGCGCTCCCCAGATCGGCTCATTTTTACTTTCTTGCCTTATGACCTACTTTATAACAAGATAAACTTATGTAATCTTGTTTGTGTTAATGATTATATAATTTTTTTGGATTAAAATATTGTATCTTTAAATTCGTGCGCCGGAAAATGGTGACTTTTCAGCAGAAAAACTCTTATTGCCGGGCCTAGAAACAAAAAGTGGAAAAATCATGTTGTTAAATTTAGAGAAAAAATTCCACTAACTCGTGATGTACCCAGAATCTATGTTTTAACTAAGGGTTTTGACTAAGCAAGAGGTTTACGTGTTTTAACTAAGCAAGAGGACAACGTGCTGTGTATAATAACATTACTGTAAGAACTTAAATGTTAATTAGATTTTCGTCTTCAAAGGGCGCAAGGTAGAGATATGTAATGTAGTTAATTATTTGATTATATAATAATGCAATGCTTTTCAATGAACTTAAAATTTTCCAGGGGTGTGAAGAGATATGAAGACGGGCCAGTGAAGTGAAAGGTATGAATACGATTTTCATTCTGGCTTCTGGTGTTAAGCCGACATTAATTTGGCTCAAATACGGGACTCGCTATGCGAACACCGTACTACCCAAGAATGCTCTTGGTACTTCAGGCCAACGACTCGTGGCATCTTGCCACTCAATATTAGCATGTAAATAGGATTCTTCTGAAAATGACTACAGGTTCGCAAGTATAAGGCAAAAGAAACAAGTTTAAATCTGGGCTGTCATTCTCCTCGAGTCAAAATTTCTCTTCTCGTTTTGGTTAGTCTTCTGGAAATTGCAGTACATCATTTTGATTGATAATAATTTAATTGTTTTCTTAATTATAAAAATTAAATGGTATTAAATCTAATCAAAATAATTTTCAAATATGATTTCCATTAAAATAATGAAAATTGGCTTGTCAGTTAATACATTTTGCTCGGTTGCTGATGGAACTGTCAGTTTTTCCTTAAACTATTTGTACAGAGTAAGTAGCTGGTAAATAGTCTTCCTTTAACACGATTTATACAAAACAGAATATGATCTTGAGATTTGTAGCCCACACCCCAACATCAGAAGGCATTAGCTTCATATTCTGCAACTTTGAAGCAAGACTGTAGACTCGAATTCCAATTTTTGAAATTTTGTTCTTGAAGTGGCCACTATTGATATATTTACCCTATATATCATCAGAAAAACACTTGGAAAAACTTACACAATTAGGAAAGCTCGAAGAACCTCTAAAATACTTGAGAGGTCATTTGCATACCTGATAACAAAATTTTCACTTTCTCAACCTCTCTCCCAGAATACGTTGACATACGTTTTTAGCGCTTCGATTCTATTCAGAACTATCGACATCTGTTCTCCAATTACATCAATTCATAAATTTGCATTTTTAATAATCCGAAAAAATGTTGATTTTTTTCTTCAGCAATATTATGCATGTATTCTTGCCAATTCGACTCTCCAAAACAAACTGCTGGGTGTTACGAAAGAACATAATTAGTTGACAAACTGCTGTGTGGTAACGAATCAATTCTCAGCAAAATGACTCAAGAAACTTTTGTCCTTCTCATCGTACAGAACACGTTGGTGTTTTTTGTTCAATCAAAATAACATTTCTACATAGCTGTGAGGAGGTGCTGCTTAAAAAAATATTCAAATAGTTTTTCAAATATTTTTGCATTCACTTTGTTAAATACTCATTCGTGTTACGAAAAGAAAACGTCAAGAGAAAACAAAAACTTTCTTGGAGTAAAAATGGCAAAAAAATCTGTTTGCATATCCAACGGAGAATGGATCACATAGAGTTTAATTCACTCAAGGCGACTCCATTGAAAACTGTTTTTTAGGGTAAACACCTATTAGCGTGTCTGTGTCTGAAGGTGGCACCACACATTCGGTATTCGGCGAGTGGTGATTGAGCGCTCGCCGGATCTCGAGTAGAGTGAACGGATTGCTTGCTTATTTACCCGAGCGACGGACATTCGGTATTCGCCCTACCCACCGGTCTTTAGGACACCTCA